AAGTCTGTGAAGGAGAGCGGAGTGAAGACCAAAGTAGAGGGAGTTGCAGTAATCCAATCTAGAAGTCACAAAAGCATGAATGAGCTTTTCAAGATCTTTGTGAGGGACATAGTGCTTAGCCTTAGCAATAAGGCGCAGCTTAAACACACATTAATGCATTTATAGTAAGTTCCCTTTGAGTACCAGTCAGTGCCTCTGTCAGTGCGATTGCCATCACCAGTGTGTGAATGTGTGGATGACTGAATGCAGTGTAAAGCAGTTTGGGGTCCATAGGGACCGAGTAAAGCGCTATACAAATACAGGCCATTCACCAGATCAGCAGTAAAATAGTTCAAGTCCAAGAGTTCATAAAGGTCTCAGGAAAAAAATCCAAAACTTGAGTTAAGTTGCATTTGGCAGATCTTCCATTCAGGGTCATCTTCTCAGGCACATCTGGATTTTTCAGCTTGGTTGCTATTTTTCGATCCCTGAGAAGAAGACAGGTTATGTCCCTTTGTTCTCGTGCTTCTGCGATGGCTGCCGGTCAAAATGCCGATCGCTCGACCTGATTTTCATTCATCGGCTGTGAAGGAAGTTTATGGGGAAGACTGTGTCACCAGAAAATGTTATGCTGTCCCTCAGAGGCCTCTGGTTCTGTTTCAAAAGCTCATCCATCTCACACCTTGTACTCTGTTATGCATGCTTAAATCCAAAAAACAGAGGCAGATCTCTGACTCTAACCTTTGACCTCTTCTCTCCAGTTTCACCTGGTTGTCGGCTCAGGTGCACAGCAACATGGTGATGCATTTCTCGGGGCGCATCGCCGACAGCTTTGACCGAGAGTTTCGCTGTTTGTACGCCGACTCTCAGATCATCGACTGTTTCTACAACCCGGAGGAGGACGGGATGCCGTACTACCCACCGTACCCTCCCATGATTGCCCCCGGCCTGGCTCTGGGGCTCAGCTCAGGCCACGGGCTGGATCTACTGTCTGAAAGGTAAGAAGGTATTCGCTGTAAGGGGAGACGCTTTCAAGGTTTTAGTTTTTTCCAAGTTTCATCACCAAGAGAAGCTTTTTTCCTGAGTTAATTATGTGAATGACAGCTGCAGCAGAAACTCTTTGAAAGCTTAATTTAGGTGACATCATGATGGATATATAATTAACTTTTCTTCTTCCACAGGCAGCGGGACAGGGTGTGCTCCGAGAACTCTAGCAGCCAATCGAGTAACAGCATCTCCAGTGTGAAGGCTGCACCTGGAATGTCCTCAAACACGGTCTACAAGGTCACGCAAAGTCATGATAAGGAGGCTGCAGCTGGCTCCCACCTGAGCCCTGAAAGAAGAGGACTGAGCGACCGATCGGGAGGACAGACCCCTACACCAGGAGGGCGGAGCTCTGCTAACGGGGGAATCAATTTCGCCCCAATTCCCGATCGCCCGCCACCGGCCTACGGTCAAGCGATGGGTATTGAGTGGAACAAACCCAACGCAGCAGATGTCTTACGGGCAAATATCGGTGGAACCTCTACCAAGTTTCAGGGTTTGGGGCTGTACGATCACAAACCAGATCTCTTCCCCTCCTCGATACCCTCCCCAGTCAATGACACCAAACCGCCGCCTAAGCAAAGGCTCCCCAGCGGGATGTTCACCAAACTTTCAGATTACCTCCTGTCATCCAACTCTAAAGACAGGGACGCCTACAACTTCCGGAGGACTCCGTCTCCTCACGGCTCACCCTGGGGAGGACCGGACCTTTCTCCAACTGAGCCGGAGAGTCAGCAGAGTCCACCGCCGCCGCTGTCTCCGGTCGGTATAATAAGCCGGAAGGACCAGAAACGAATGACGCTGGGCCACAGCAAGCTGGACCTGGTGAACCAATACAACAAGATGAAGCCCAAGCAAGTGTACAGCCGCTTTGAGCTCAAGGGCACGAATTAGACTGGAAGGCCAACCATCAG